TACCACAATAATCACTATTTAAATCGTATCACAGTCGAACTGAAACTTAACTTACAAGCTAAAACCCGTCCTTATATATAGCCGTAATTTATTCCTGTAAATTCCAGAAGAACCGCGTTCGACCTTTTTCCTGAACATCAACGTAAAATCTCGAATCTGCTATACAATTCTGTACAGGATTCTTGACACACTGGCGGCCGTTGCAATATATTTAAAATTCCTGAAAATCTTTAAAAATTTAACAAAACCACACAAAATCCCTTAAAAATCACTTGAAATCGCATAAAATTTCACAAAATCACACAAAATTTTATTAGAACCAAAAAAATCTGGCAAAATCTTATAAAATATTAATATGTATTCCTAAAATAAAAATTCCTTCAAGATTTCCAAAAATCCTTTCGAATTTTCAAAAATCCATTAAAATTTCTAAAAATCCTTTAGGGAGCTTCAACAATAAATATTCCTTAAAATGACAGTCTGCTATGGAAAAATGTCAGTTTAAAAAATACTTATCGTTAAGACTTTTCTAAATTAGTTGGTAAAAACGCCATAAAACCCTTTCTAAATTCCCTAAAATGATCCAAAATCACCTAAAATCTCACAAATCTAAAATCTTTTAAAATCCTGTAAAATCACGTGAAGATTTTCAAAATCCTCAGAATCCTACAAAATCAATAACGATTTAATTTTGTACATATTTTATGGAGTTAACTAAACTTGCAGCGGTTAATTGATGAAAATTTGTATACAAGTTGGTCAAAATCCCAGAAAAACTCGTAAGGTCTACTCAAAATCCCTGAAAATCTTTAAAATCTTTAAACTAACAAAATTTTATTAGAACAAAAAAAATCCGGCAAAATCCTATGAAATTCCTAATAAGAAAATTCCTTTAACATTTTCAAAAATCCTTTGGGATCCCCAAAAATCCGTTAAAATCTCTAAAAATCCTTTAGGATCTCTAAAAACCCTTCTAACTTCCCTAAGATGCTCCGAAATCACCTAAAATCTTCCAAAATCCTGTGAATTCATATGAAGATTTTCAAAATCCTCAAAATCCTACAAAATCAATGAAGATTTAAAATCTGTGTACATATTTTAAGGAGTTTACCACCCCTCGATTTGACCATCCATATAATTATTTGTCTGTTTATGAATTTTAATGATTTTCGGATATGATATTAGTCAATATGTCACCTTAAAATTAATTAGACCAATTCTGTCAGGACCGGACTCACAACGATTTCATTAAATGGATGCATTTAAGTTCGTCGTGAAAACGAACTGCGCTACTTACAAACCAATTTTTTTTTTTTCAGAAGTGTATTTATGGGAAAACAAATCCTGAAAATATCAATATTTTAGAGCCAAAACCTGAGAAACTAAGACTAACAATTCAAATAGGAAACTTTATATTAAATATACAAATAACTATACCTAATACAATAATGTTAAGTTCAAAAATGCGATTTTTAACCCACGTTTCTAATTCAATTTGCTGTTTCAAATATTTTGAAATACTGTGTGTACTAAACGTCAAATTTGGAGATGGCAAAGTGTGCGGTAAAGTTGCTTTACGCATAGTGTGCGGTAAACTAGAGTTTGGTATTTTTCATCAAAAATCCCATCTCTTTCAGAAATTTCAATATTGCCATTTTTTGGAGATGTAGATGCTCAAGGGTAAAATTTTGTACCTAACACATTCGGGCAAGAAAGTGCCTTTACCGCCCTTATCGGCTTGACCGTACGACGCGAAACTGCCGTTGCGTGCGGTAAAGTATCGCTTCCCGCATTTGTTAGGTAAATAACTATATTATTTGGAATGTGTTTTAGCGCGGTTTCAAAAACAATTCCGTTCCTCTAGAGTACTTAAATTATATTAGAGACGAAATTAGTATAATATATTTATAAATTATTCATCTAATTACTTCTCAAGACCCAACTGTAATTCACGAGGCAACTCACATCAACTAATCTACATTAAATTTTGATTCAAGATCCACAAGACCACAAAGTACAAGTACAATAAATACAACACGGCAATATCCAGCGGTATAACAGCCGCCGTCTTGAATATCTTGTTCCCGGTTGAGATCTCGACTTGGTAACAGGCATTTTTGGTTTCATCGGGGTCAAATTAACTAGGAAACAACATTAACTGAAAAGTAACACGATTTGCTTCTAGACTCGTAACGGAAGGCTTTTTTCTCAAATATATCTTGACTATATAGGTCAATTCTCACTTACGCTTCACTCAGCTCGGCGACGCGACACGACGCCGCGATGCAAGCTGTCGCTATATAAATATTTCATTGGTTTAAATGTAGAATGTAGTGCAGTGTAGGTGGGAATCTATTCATTTAAATCAATGAAATATTCATCCAGCGACAGTTTGCATCGCGGTGTCGTGTCGCGTCGCCGAGCTGAGTGAAGCGTAAAAAGTGAGAATAGACCTCCTTTAGTCTTGCCTCTGAGTGTGAGTATCTAAAACTGCACTCCATGAAAAGAAAATCCTCTCTTAACTTCATCAGTTGCTATCCAAGCTATTTTTCAAAATACCATAACATGAAAACAAAAATCTAGCGCTGCATGCAGAAATGCAGAATCGAGTATTATGCAAGTTTACTTCGAACCGAGCTTCGAACAATTTAAAAAAAAAAAATCAATTGGGGCGAATCGAGAGGCGAATACAGTATAGTGAATAAATCAATAGCACTTTTTTTTATTGTGACGTTTTTCCTGAAGTCGTTTTGTGAAATCAATTGGGTATTTACCTGAAATTAAAATTACCTACGCATTTCCGTGTTTGGGAAGGCCTCTTGCAGAGACTAGAAAAACAAAAAATAGTTACCTACCAGAGCCGAGTTTGGTATTTGCATAGCAGACGCGATAGATTTTTGGTCACGTGATCACAGATTACTCTGGGCAATTTGAAATCAACGAACGGCCTGACCAAATAAACAAACTTCTAACCTCGCTTTTACCAACGCTTTTTTTACGATTTTTTTTTGCTTGCTTGCTGTTCGTTCTTTTGGTGTTTACGGCTATGTCTATCTCTGTGGCAATTTTGGTAGTCATTCATGGTCATCAAATGGTTTTTGATGACGACGACGACGAGAAAAAGAAGCTGGTCCTTCTGCAAAGATTGAGGGCTATGCACAAGAAATCGTGCCACGTTTTTCTGAGATGCAGTTTAAGAAGCACTTTCGAATGGTTTCAGCAACTTTTGAAGATTGTTTACAATGCTTCATGATGTGAGCGGCAAAAATATAGAAGATTGAATTGGACATCCGGTAATGAAGTTAGAAACTCAATTTCGAGCATTTCTGTAGAAAAGCGCCTGATTAAGCACTGAAAATAACCACTGCTTTGACACTTTGAGACTGCGACATAACCTCATGCACAATCGCAGATTAATCTCTCTCGTCGGTCTAAATATTCCGAGCAAACAGATTTACGTCCGACTGATCTGAGCGGAATTAACGGATGATTTAGATTTGCCTCTCCCACATCTACATGCAATAAACGAACGATTCAGATCGAAAAGATTGATCACACGTTAAAGCCGAACGCAGCAAAGGATTCCACTTTGCGAAAGTTCACTCCTAAAATCAATAGTAGATTCATTAGTTTAAAACCATGTAATTATTGAATCATTACAACAAATTTTTGTGGAATTTACTTGTAGCGTACCTACCGAGGGGTCAACCACCTGTGGTAATAGGTGTACAAATCTCGGTAATAATTACGTAATAACTGGTAATAAGACGTAATAACTGGTAATAAGACGTAATAAATGGTAATAATAGGTAATAATTACGTAATACCCCGTAATAACCAGTAATAACACGTAATATTTTGGTAATAACATGTAATAGTTACATAATAACATGTAAAAATTACGAAATAACTCGTATTTGCAAGGATGACAATTCCCTTCTCCCTATCAAATATTTCTAGCTTAACTTTTTCTGGTGCATATGTAAATTTTGATGCACTCCTACTTATTGCTCTCTGATAAGTCCCACAGAGTCGTTTTTAATTAAAATAAATAAAGTATAACGAACAAAAACAACCATGCGCTCGGTATTTTGATCAGGAGTTTTCTGAGCTTGAATTGACCGTTCGTTTATTCAAAAAGTGCGCTCGGTGCAGTTCATTCGCGTTCTTTATTAAAATTTTACGTGCTCTGATCGCTCTGATACAGCGTTTAACTGCTCTGTGCGCTCCTGGTCACGTGATTACGGCTCCGCTTCAACACGCTCTGCTCTTTGAGCAAAATACCGAACGCAAAGCAAGTAAAACAGTTTTGAGTTTGAAATTAGGTTAGAATTTCCGTGTGTTCTGTACCAACGGAACGGAAACAATTTATTAAAAGATACGAACGGAACACACCCTAAATGATGGGAGTGCATTCGAAATCAACCTGGGCGTGACACCGAGTGCATACCAGCCATGAATTATTCATAGCTGGTGTGCACTCGGTGTGACGCCCAGGGTGATTTCGAACGCACTCTAAATCAATGGGTAAAGTTTGTTTTTTATTTAAAGATAATTCCCCAAGTCAAAAATTTAGTTACTATGTTGGCAACACAAACCTTTTCTACATAAAAAATTTGAAAGCATTGACAATTTTACATTGTATTGCCAACATAATGTCATTTTGACTTTTATCTTTAAAAAAAAAAATAGCCTTTATATCAACCGAGATGTCAACAGTGTCATCTTTCAGCTCGCCGGGGATTCACCGAACACGTCTATAACTCTGCGATTTATAAATGTGATTTGATTTGTAAGATGTTTTTGTGAATGTGCTTGTGGAATTGTTGGGCTGTTATTATAGGTTTGAAATGGCACTTGTTCAAAGAAAAAACAATTTGACAAAATTATTAAACGACGTTCAACTAGAGCTGCCAGATTACCTAATTCTTTTGCTCGCTTACAATGGATATGATAACATGGTATCCATTTCAAAAATAGATAATCTAGCCATTGAAAAAATGGAGATATTTGCAAGGAATAAACTGTCCCAACTTTTAAAAGATGCAGAGAGAGAAATCTTTTTCGGAATTTTCAATTCAATGCCAGAACTTTTGGAAGTGTTGGAAGGAGATAGGCAAGTTCTTTTTGATTTAAAAAATAGAATTATGAATATATTGCAGCCAAACCCAAGGCCAAACCTTGAGCCAGGCCCGAGGCAAGGCCCCTTCCAAACGACTTCAAGGGCTCAAACGACAAATCATATGCAGGAAGTTGTAAATGTTGAAGATAATGAATCTACCGAGGCATCTAACTTGGAGCAAAAAGCTACTCAGCAGTTGAAAAATTTAATAACAAATTATGTCCAAAATAATTTCAAAAATGTAAATGAAACAGATAGGCTGTTAATGAAGAAGATTAACATCAATGTAAACCTAAAAGAAAACAAGGCTAAGATTTCCTGTTCTTTTTGCCCCTACACGACAACAGTATACTTCAGAATAATAAGGATAAACATCTGCTAACTGAATCACATCTTAATGGTACCCTATGATAGTTTTATCTTTGATTACTTTTGTTTTTTGTTTATTATCATTATAAAAATTAATGTTTTTTTCCTTTTCAGCCCAAGATAAGATGAATTTCGACGCCATTGAGAAAATATGTTCTGAAAAATCAGTCAACCTCTTGAAACAAATTTCTGACAGCGAGGCTACAGTGCAGTACCTATGCATGACACGAAATATACTAGATGCTTTTTTGCAAAAAAATCTTTCAATTGGTGAGAGAATATATAGAATATGGAATGTAGTTTTCTTCCTTCGAATATGGAAAAATTGGCTAATATGGACAAAAAAAAGCCTGCAAAAAATTTTTATAACTACAAATTGCTACACATGCATAGAAATTAATGCGCATGAAATTCTCCTCCTTTTGGAAAAATGTACGAACCCGCTTGTTTTCTTCCATGGTTGACGAGTAGCCAACCGTGTGAGAACATTTTTCGTCAGACTAGAGCTATGACGACGATATATTCCACAAAAGTGAACTTTTCAATTCTGGACCTTTTAAGACGACTAAACAGGATAGAGGCACTTGGCGAAATAACACGTGATTTGGGTGAGTGAAGCCTGAACAACTTCAGATATATGTTATGATTTCGTACTTTTAGGGGACGAGTATTGTTTTCCAAGAGAGGAAAACAGAAAACTGGGTACTGGAATCTCAACAGCTGAAAAAATTCCAACTTTGGAAGAAATGAATGTCATCATCAAAAAGGCTGAAGAACATGCCAAACAATGTGCAGTTGAGTTGGGTATCTTGTGTCATGACATCGAGACAGTGGTAATTAGACAAGCCACTAAACTTAGTACGTTTTGGTTTGCTTTTACATTATTCAAAATAAATTTTTTATCAATTTATTTGGCTAGAATCAACTGATTAAGCTGCACATCAGTCCATTAGGATAATTACTGTTCACATTACAGGGGCGTTGAGAATTTTTTGCATTTTCCGCGATAGTGGCAATGGGAAATCGAAACTACATGAGAAACGAAACTGCACATTATCTGAAAAAGTTAATTTAAAAATAATTCCAAAAGTAATAAAAATTTCAAATTTTACTGCTCTTTGTAGTTTATTAAGTATTCTTTTTATGGCGCATTGTTGCGCAGCAAACAGCAAATAATAAAAGCGGCATTCGTTGGACAGTTTTTGTTGTTTTTTTTTTTTTTTTAGCTGTACACCACCCATTGACTGAAAAAAATATATATTCCCGAAATGCATTTGTGTAGCGAGTTGCTTCTTCCGTTATTTTGTTCGAAAATTTGAACTCAAAAACTCGAAACAGGATTAGAAAATGTATAATAATAATAATTCGTCAATGGGGACTTTCACCATGTCTGAATTTCATTGCTGTATTATTTTTAATCAGTTGTATGAAAGAAAATAAAAATACCCTTGCTTCTAGTTGGCTTTAAAATGTTTTATTTTTTTTTTAATAAATAATTTTTAAAAATGCTGTTCTTACCACATATTATTTAAACGTATTGGAATGCAAGGATAATATACACTACTACTGAAGGATAACCTATCCTCATAAGGCCTGTGTGGAACAAATCTGAAGCCCCCTACCACACCAAATCACTAGTTGTTACATAGGCAGCATGTCCTTTATCGCCTTGACGTAGGCTGTTTGCACCACAGGTTATGATTCCGCGGGCTTTTGCTTCATAAATACTTGGTTTAACTACAATAATTAACATTCTAAAACAATTCATTTTAAGATCTCGATTGCATCTTCCTCTTTGCCTATTATGTTAATCAAAAATCAAAATTAAATAATATTTTTCATCATAAATTTAAATTCGAGTTTAAATTCTAAACTACGACCGCTAGTGCAAACAGCTGACGACTTAGTTATGACGTCGGAAATGGTGACACACCAATATGGCGGCGATTACCAAAAACGAGGCCGATAAGCAATCCTTAGTAGTGTGTATTATCCTTGCTGGAATGGCGCCAGTGCATGACGTAGATACCTACCCGACCAACAAGAATCGTTCACAATGGCTCTGAAGTTCATCTTTGATGCTTTCCTTGTCTAAGCTCTCAATAGTGACAATGATGAAAATCCTCATTCGTTATTTACACCTTGTTCGTTTAACACGCTGTCTAACATAACCTTATTTTATGTTGATTTTGAGGAGTGTGTTTTATTGCTTGTGTTATTATTTTCGTGTTCAAAAAGATTAACAATATTGCTTTGGTATACTTCAGGTTTGTTGCGTATGGGTTGCTTCACATCTCAAGCAACGAAACACAAAATTCAAAAAACAAACTGTGACATTAGGGGATATAATATTTATCAGCAGGCAGTAGACAGTGCGACGTTGCCAAACTGACTGTCGTGATTTCTTGAAACTAAAATGACGTCAAGGCATATATCCTTTCCAACGTTTGTTAACTTTCAAACACGGTTTGTCTTAAGGCGGCTACTCACTACATGATACTTGGCAAGTAACTTGACTTGACTGTAGTTTGGCAAGTACTTGTACAAGTGAAAGTAAACTGTATGGAATTCGGGAAGTTCAAGTCGTCATGAACGCAAGCTTGTGATTGAATGTGTTGGTGGATTAAATATTCATGGAGTCCGAGAGTGATAATCGTATTCAGACTGCAGCATTTATAGTCATGTGTTGTGGTTACCTTTTATCAAAAAATAAAAAAACATTTTCTAAATATTGCCATTAACGATTTTTTTTTAAAATCCGCAATAGGAATTTCTTCAGAAAACTCGGCTTGAACACGTTTCCAGGAATCGTGGACTTCGTTCACATTTTTGTGCAAAGCAAGACACGAGTAGCTCCCCAAATAACAGGATCCTTTGCCAGAAAAAGCAAAGTAAAACCCTTCCACAACTCTACTCTATTTCAACCACAAACAAAACAATCAAAACTTGTCGCGATTTATACCGAGTAATATAGTGCTTCTACTTGCCTACTTGCCATACAAGGTGACAATTTGAAAAGTAGCAATCGGGAATATCTCTAAGACAAAAAATACTCTCAGGAAGATCTCAAATACGTATCGGGGATTGGAGGGGGAACCAAAATAGGGAGAGTCACCTCTTAGGGGGTAGCCGAGGGGGTAGCTACCCTAACTTATTCACTAAACCCGAAGCCGCACTGCAGGAGGGTAGTAGGGAGCTTGGTGGGAAGATGGTGGAGGTTAATGGTTAGAGGGTGGATATACCTTGGCCGAACTCGTCGCGGGGGAAATATACCAATCCAAATCAAGTTCACTATAAAACTTTTGTAGTTTCGGGTGCTCCAGATGCCTCTTTCAAATTTTGCCAAAAGGCTTCTCCTCTGTGACAGTTTTTATCTAAAATATGTAAATCTGGGAAATAAGAGGATGTGTGTGCATGAGTGCATGAGTATAACTTTCACAGAGACTATGATGGTGAATTTTTGCGAGTTTATAAGATGTGAAATTCCCCTTAAAAATTCTTCAATTTTGCACGTATGAGTGTTCCTTAGTTCGTCTGCTGGGTCCCATAATATAGCTTTCCATTTATAAACAGCCGAAATTAACTGTTCTTCCATGCCGATTATGCCTTGCGCCTGGCTGAAAATATCAAACACGACTGATTGCCAGGTGGTGTGCTTGGTGGGCCGCTAGGCTGGTTAAGGTGGTGGGGAATCGCAGTGCGACTGATTCGGTTTAATCACTTGTTTCGGAAACACAGTAGTGGGTTACTTGGAGGGTCGCTTGGCGCCTCGCTACCCACTACCCTCCAGGTAAACCGCTCGCACTGCGGCCGCAGCTTAAAGGCTAATGAAATCCTTTTGGTGCCAATTCACTACACTGTGCCTTAGGCCAGCATTTGATTGGATTGTCTTGCCATAGTTGGATTAGCTTTTTCATTCAGTACTGAAATCCGTTCCAAAATCAAGCAGTAATACAGCATACTGGTCAAAAAGAAACGACGATTTTAAGTAAAAACCGTACAGCAGAAATCAGTACTGCCAGTTGAAAAAAGAACACAGCCTAAATCTCCCCATTTAGAATAGAAAAAAATTTAAATTGTGATACTGGGAGCAATACTGAATATAATCTACCATACTTCACTTTGTGAACGTGGGCTACATCGAGGGCTACATCCAGTTTCCTGTTTGTTAAATTTTTCCATATAAAAAGCAAAAATGTAGCGTTTGGCAAACAAGCTGATATGCTAATGATAGCCCTCGTGCAGATTTGATATTCTTTATGTTTGAAAAATCAGTTTTATAGGATCGGAAATTTCGCAAGAGCATGTGACCCAAAACCCTTCTATAAAAAGACAAAAGATGTTGCAGTTCAAGACCTGAAACGGATAAAATTCGGCAAAGCCCTACGAGGAAAAAAAAGCTAGGTAAAACCAACCCGCTCTAATGCAGAATTTATCACAAAGGCAGAGCAAGCTTGCCATGCTTATCCTTCTCACAAAAATTGTAACTAACCCTAACCGAAAAAATAACAATTTCAAGAAATGTTCCCCATGCTTTGCTATTCTGAAATAACCAAGCCAGTGAACTTTTTAGTTATTTCGTAAATTAGTATCATAATGTCAACAAAGATACTGGTGTTTGACGAACTTAGCAGCTTCTAGCATAAACTCTACACGTGTGTACCTATCACTGCCTAATTGGAACTATAATTTTTGAAGCTTTGTTTTAAGTCTTCTGTAATACTTATGATTCCGTGTTAAACGTTGAGTGTAGCCGTATAAAATAATTTTATATATAGACCAGTTACTTGAATTTTCACCTGTTTGAAACTTATACTTTTCAACATTATACACTTTGTTTTTTCCATGTTAATAGGTTCACATAGTGCTAAATAATTGTATATTCAAGAAATAAAAATTAAATAATAGGTATATGCTGGGATTGTGGAAGGGCAAAATGTATAGCTACCTTGAGACAGAGAGCAATGCTTATTCAACCTAAGCATCATTACGAGCTAAGACGAAAAGTATCGACGACATCGATAATAGAACTTCAATGTGCGCGGATGATAACGTCGTGATGGCCAATACAAAGGAAGATCTTTAGGCATAGCGTTCCGGCGACTTCTAGAGACAGTCTTCAACAATTACGATATCAGCGCTGAAATCCAAACTTCGCGTTTGCAATGCAGTTGTAATACCAACAGTTAGGTATGGCTGCAAAACATGGACCACCTACAGAAGACACATAAAAAGCCTAGGAAAATACCACCAGCGCTGCCGAAGAAGGATTCTTCGGATTAAATGGGAGGACCTTGGACAGGACCGACGAACGAACATGTTGTTTTAGAGGAGTCCAAAACAACTGTCCTGGAAGCCCTCTTCATTAAGCACCAACTTCGCTGGACAGTTCACCTCGTCCGCATGCCCGAAACACGTTTTCCACGACAGATTCTCTACAGTCAACTGGAATCAAGTCTAAATTATTCATACTTGATGGTGTGTCTTTTTCTCTAAAGGTACTACAACAGAGCTTTTTGAGGTTGGTGAATCAAATATAGAAATCCATTCTTGAAAAACACAAGCCGACTGTCACAAAATCGCACCCGAGCTATTATTCCCCAGACTATAAAATGTTTAATCACATACAAATTTGGGGTTTAAAAGCTTTGGAAATATTTACATTTAACCTACATGAATATTATTAAAGCAAACTAGATGTGAAATTTTCAGCAAAAAAATAAACTTTTATAATTGAAAAAAAAAAATACGTGAAGTAATTTTTTTTTGAAATATTTACCGATTTTTCTTTTTTTTTCCGAATATACCTCATTCTGTGATCTTTAGAAATCAA